AAAACTGGTGTGGAGGAAAACGGAGCATTGAGTATTTACCCTGTTTTACTTATACAGAAGAGTTCAATTTCAGATAGTAGAAGAAGAGTGATCCAGAACGAAGAAATTACAATAGTAGTAATATATTTCTCTAATGCTTGAGGGCACGCTCTGCTCCGGTTTCAACACACCGCGGAGATGCTCAAACTTCGCCAGATACTTCTCTTCTTCATGGACTTTTTTTGCAATCTCTAAGCATTCTGAGGTATCGGGTTACTGAATTTTGTAGAAGCACCGCCAATCTCAAGTCCGTTTCGCCCACTTCTGGTGAAGGGTCCCCCAGTTTGGTCCACTTTTTCGATCTCTGTGCTTCGCTGGAAGCGGATTATGGATCTTCCCAGCGACGCCCCGATTGAGAGCGCAAGCCGCGCCTATTGTGTGCGGTATAGGTCATGTGTGCTCAGTTACATCTTGTCCCTCGATCTACCCATCTCAGCGTTGGGCCGCTCTCTTCAAGCTGCTTCTCAGGTAGAACCGAATTCCGAACAAACAAACAAACGGACTAAGGTCGAACACAGGGAACAGACTGTTATGTGTAATAGTGACTCGTTTCTTGCCCTAGGGGGGCTTCGTCGTGAGAGAGCAATACGAGCTTCGAGGGCTGTGAGCTCCTTCTCTCGATATAAAATGGGCATACTGCGAATATCGAGCGTCGAGTAGTAGTCAGCGAAATCCTGAAACCCACAATTAGCGTCAGCATCAGTTGGTCATCTTATTGTTTGACGTCCACACTCTTCAAACAATATGCATTTGGTTATACTAAAAACAACTTTTAGGTAAAAAGACATCAACACTTTTTCCCTGAAAGAATGAAGCAGTCATGGATTTTTTAAAGTGAACTCACTTTGGAATCGACATCGATTGCTTGCTGATATAGATTGGATTTAGGGGTATAGGCAAAAGGATCAAATTAGTCTTATACCTTGTCCTACCTCTGCGTATCGTAGAATTGTTTACTACTTTTTCTTGGAGCGATTTTTTTACCCATACTGATAATAAATCGCTAATCATCAATCAAAGAAACTAAGCGAGTAACTCAAAGCAACAAACCAATTGGTTTCTGAGGAGCATCCAAAGCTGCGACGACTTCTCCGATAGGGATGTGTGCACCAACAAGGTTATTGTGAGTTTTGTATAAGACGGGCAACACAGGCCATGGAAAGAGAGCCTTAAAAGGCAAAGGGAAGATAACTTCAAATGTAGTCAGGAGAGGTCAACACGTCAGGCCCGGCTGTACGCGCCTTGAGAAGATGAACTCAACCTACCTTCAAAATATGCGAAACGACTCTCCGTATGGTGTTACGGAAGGATTTTCACCCCGATGGTTGTTTTAAATGTTATCGCGAGGAAACGTGGAGGCGTCCTTGAATATATGTGGAAGGTCCCTCGTATACGTGATAATAGCGCGCAACAGGTAGCGAGCGAGTTTCGCAGGCGAGAGGTTGTGGGATCAATCCTCGTGGAAGCGCTCTTTTTCGCATTTCCCATAAACATGGCTTTCAAAACTTCCAACATACCTGTTTGCTTACATTAGCCTGTGAGGGATCTGTAGCCTGTAACTAGTTTTTTGTTGAAAATGTACACCCAGTGTGGTATGAAGTGCTCGTACCTGTCCCCTTAGTAACACATGTCTTGGATTGGGTTTTCGCTTTGGATCAGTGTGGTGTTCTCGCGTCAAATGAGATGCCGATCTATCTCGGAAACTGTAGAATTCTATGGAGTATAAGCAGGAGACTGGAGCTCACCTACCATCGATGACTGGTATCCAGATGGAATTTCCTCCATGTAATCAGGAAAATGATGCAGATTGTGCGAATAAGTTAGCCAGCGCGCCTTGAAAAACTGTAGGGAAAAACCTCCATTACTCCGCTCAGAGAATCAATCCGCAATTTTGAAGGATTAGCGTTCTTCGTCTCAGGACGAGTACAATGATGAGCACCTAATTGGAAATGGCCAGACTGACCTGTTGACATTTCCTAGTAAGTTCAAGCCAGTACCTGTTCACTTTGCAGGAAATGAACAGCCAGTAATAAGATGTGATAGGAAGACAGAAGGCCGTATTTGCTGTCACGGATTTCCAGAGCATCAAACAGCATTCGAAGGTAAAGGAATAGTCGAGATAACCGATGGTCGCACTGAAATCGTTTTTCACAATGCCGTTTTGCGGATTGAAACTGAAAACACCCTGTACACGCCTGGACATAAAGTCTTATGAGGTTTGTGTTTCGGATCGCTTGAAAGTGCTCGTCAGAAAATTGAATATCAACATTTTGTCCGTTCTGCAGATGTACAATCAGAAGAGGTACCTAGAAGAGGAATCGATTGTGAAACGCTGGTTTTCTTTCTTTGGCAAAAATGTTAAATCAATAATTAAGAGGTACCCGTAAATTATGGAGAATCACACTGCTCTCAACAGGATTGCCCATGTTAGCAAACTCGCGAGTAACAACATTGGAGACGGCGGTGATGAACTGCCTGGAACAGACTCATATTTTTTTGATGCAATGAATAACTTAATCGAACGAACTCACATTTTGAAATCACCATTCCCATGAAAATCTTTGAGGAATGATCGCCTGCGCGAGTCATCAGTAGGGAAAAACACCTGAAGCCAAAAGATTGAGTACAACTGAGTCAAAAGAGAGATGCAACGCATTTATGAACTGGGTGTCAGGATGATCGTCCGCCATTCTTCACAGTTGGTTTTGCTGACTATTTTTTTACAATCTCCTCTGGATTCATTCAATGTCACCTCTGACCCAAGCAACGGAGCAACAGGCACAGTCCGCAGCTACACGCTGCCGATGTAGATCTCCCATTTAATCTCTACCCTTTGCTAATCACTAGCCACTTTTCCAAAGTCTACTAATTATTCCGCAACCAAAGTATATATCTTTGCCTACTGACTCAGCTCGCTTCGGTGTACGTCCAAGCGAAGCCCCCCTCCCCCCAGAGAAGGCGGGGCTTTGCTTGGGTGACGTGTGCTCTGTGCATCTTGTCCCGAACTCTACTCATTCTTTCGCTTCCAGAGAACCAGATAGACAAACAAATTACGTAGCATTTGTGGGCAGAATCCATGGAAAACCTAACGAACCAAATCTATATCTGAGTTGTCGGAAGAAAGCCCATTCACAGATGACCCAACCCGGACGAAACGACAGTCACGAGAGAGGACTCGATCCGCAAGTGTTTCCGGTAAACTCGAGACAGTGCTCTAGAAAGAAAAATAAAAAGCGAATATCTTTCCGGATTCACCTATTCTGCTAACACCAAAGAAATATAAAACCTGGGAATTTGATCGGCACCGATCAGCTTCATCCAGTTTTTGGTCAAGGGATTCTAGACGAACACCATGCTGGGACTTCACGTTTTCTACGAATGCTCCGTTCTTTACACCTAAAATGAAGACCTTGTCATGTTTATAACATCGCAAAATCAGAAATCATAAATCATCGAGCAATACCTCAAAAAAGATGCGCAATCATGACTAAGTAATCGAAAACGGTACTGAAGGGCAACAACAGATTTCAACCACTGAGAACGTGCTGAGGTTTTGCAGAAGCAGCAGTTCAAGGAGGGGAGCTATGCAGTAGTGGCATATATTTGAGCCTTTCCATAAGTATAAACGACTCGGCCTCTCTGCCACACTGTATACCCCATCATTTCATCATTAACACCCCAACAATCAGTCATTTCATCTGCCTTTTCAATTTCATCTGCTTTACCTGCCGCCGGTTAGTCGACGGCAGTAAACAGCAGGAATGAAATCTTTACATTGTTATTGTCTGCTCTGTTCCTACTTATAATGGCTCCGTTAAACAAAGCAGCTCGCACTCGAAAATCTTCGCTATAATGCGCGCCGTTAGGCAGCGTTCAGACTTCGCGGTGAGGCGCTCTAAGGTGCGTCGACGCGTTACAATACAATGCAACAACGCTCAAGTGCCATAGACGCAAGCAGAGGATGCCGGGAACATGCGGCGCGGACGCCTGTGCGCGACCTTCTGTTCACTCTGTCTGGTACCGATCGGCACTGGCTGCTACGGGTCCGGTAAAGTACAGAAGAATGGAATGGTAGCAGACTGAGTGAAGGCAGCGCACGTCCTACTTTTAATTCTTATACTCTGACTGGCAAACACCACCGCGTCGGCACAGATCTTATTCCCGCGTTGCGGCTGCGTCGGTTGCTGCAATTGTAGCGCGTCGACGCGCGTCTTCGCGAAGTCCGAATGAAAAGACCCAGCCCTATCTGCATCCATGGCTATGTTCAATCTGTACGGCTACGCAGGTTGTGAGACCATTATGTTGTACGATTTTGTTTAAGCAACTACTATAAATAAGCAACTGAAAAAGATAGCTCACCTTCTCTAAGATCAGAGATAATGGCTCTTGATTTCGAAGCCAGGCATCGAAGTACCGTTCTGGTTACCATTCCTAATTCCGCCCTCTAGCCCATGTAGACGGCATTGATTGTGTGTGTCCGTCACAATCCTATTGTATCCAAACAACAGAAAGCCCTCGCTTTGGGCTATACCACTGCGCACGTAGGAATTCTCCAAACTTCTTGATTTGAGTGTTTGCTAAAACAAGCCATGGAAATTCCGTGGAACATTTAGTCTGCTTCAAGTGGGTCGATGTTGAGCGAGACACAACTTAGGGAATACATGTTCCTATCGGCTAGTGCAGTTCCCCTCTTTTGTTAATAATGGGTAAGCTGCCACAAGCCTGGATAGCCCAAGATGCCACTGAACACCTCCAACAATTCTCATATTTGAAATATTGAATGGAGTGTCGGCCTTACATCGAAGAACGTCACTAAGCGTGTCCCCAACTTGGCTAACGTCAGGCGAATGTTATATCAATGCCCGGACTTTCGTTGTTTCTTTCGAAGATATATTGGTCCTACAAAAGAGGAATGTACTCCACCAAACTCGCTGACTCAAACAATATCTGCAAAGTGCAACGTGGGTTCAGATAGCGTGGATGAGCCCGATAGTATCGTCAAGACAAACCAGCTGTTGAATAAATTTATTGGAAAACATTGTATGAACATTTGAAATTGGCCATAAAAGTCATAACATGACAAAGTGAAAAATCTACGGCTGTACAAACATAAAAGCTTCATACCCGCTACAACGAACAGTACACTTGTGTGAAGAGGAAACTGAAACAGATAGAGAGACAGAAAATGGGAACAAAAAGAGATATGAAGAACAAAAGATAGCACGATCATTCAAGCATCATAAAGGATAAAAGGACAGTCTTCGCCGCTGATCAATTCCCTTCTAGGCTGCGGCATGATTCTACTTCCATTCAGAATTGCAATGGCTTATTGCATGCCATGCAGCCGATGGGGGGGGGGGGAGCGGCGCAGCCGATATAAAACAAACATTCTTCCCCCCCCCCCCCAGATGCATTCCGGCCAATTATACGTTACCTCGGCGTAAAAGGGCTTGGATGGCCTGGGCGGGAGCGGACTCATAAACTTCGAGTGTAAAAAAACCTTGTCTATTGTACAGGACACACCGATAATCACCCTTCAATAACCACCCGTCCTCTCGAAGTTTCAACAGGTTTTCCTAACCACATGCAGTCCTAAGGCAATATTGCGAACTGCCTTGTCTCGCCTACTGTAGACCTGCCTCATTCTATGCGTTAACGTATAAGCACGATGTCAACCCATACGGGCTAGACATTAAATCTTAATCTGCTGTGCCCTGCTGCGTTGCGCGCAATGCGCGGTGATGCAACGGCGAATTTTCGATCTGCATCAGTTTGTCGACTGCAGCAGCGAGACTCATGAGAAGTCTAGCGAGGCAAAAGTTCGTGCCGAATGATATAGATCTTTCGCTTTCCTTCAACCTTCACATTCAAACAGCCAAGACAACTCGTCTCGCGAGCGGGCGTCGCTCGCCACGCCCACCAACGCGGCATATTGTGATTGTCTTGTCACACAAACAAGAGACAGCCTGTCAGCAAACACCGACCATGAACATCATTACTTACTACTGAACTCAACGCCTTTTTAATGTAGACTTTTTGCGGCAAAAGCACGGTTGGGAAGTCAAAAATCCTAAATGAAGAAAGCCCTATATGTTCCAAATATAGCGAGTATAACGAATAATAAAAAACCCTCTAACGCAACAGAAGATAAGTCTACCGAGCGAGAGTAAGCTTTCCGGAAAGCACCCATCTCTAACTCAGATTTCAATGCTGAGAATGTCTCTCCTATGAGTGACGGACCGTTTCTCACGTTACATCGCAAAGTACCGACATCCTGCTTGAAGTAGGGGTCCACTATACGTATGAAGCCATCATCTTCTCGATCCATTTGTCTGAAAGACCCTATTGCCGTTAACCAATGATAAAAAGAATCATCTTTTCAACTACAAAAGTCACTGATATGCATCACTGATTGAAAGATGGAAGCGAATAACTGAATCAACCCAGTCGGGTAGGTATGGAAATGGCCGCTCAACGAACTTACGTCGGTGACGTCGGAGATGTAGGTATGGGGCTGTTAGGTGCCAATGGTCCTAGGAATTGAAACAAAATGTACGTGCACCTCCAAGAGCGATCCCTGCCATATGCGAGAACGGCTTATCAACTGTGCAAGTGTGACACTTTCGACATTTCAAATAGCGCAGAAATGAGGCTGGAAACTGGTTGTGACAGAAGTATGCTGTTTATGTCTCAGTTCGCTATCAAGGTGCAGCATTTGCATTCATACCAAAGTCCCACAGCGAACATACACAGCCGAGTTAGAGGATAATGCGAACGTAACAGGGCGCTAATAAGTAGTGCGTTTGACTATGGTTAGGCGTGTGGCAGCGCGTGCGTGTTTTTAACGCCGTGCCTCATGCTGAGCCCGGATAGGACACACAAATGACTTTAGCTTCTACTATCCTCTGGCCTTATTTCAGCACACTGTTGAGTAAGTAAGAAAGCTAAAAGGGACTGAGTGCCAATGAAATCTAAACTAAGAAATTCAGCTTTGAATGAATAATCCTAGTGACAAATGGATGAAAGAGCACTCTTACCGTTCATAAGCACTGCCGTCAACGCCTATCGCTGTATGTTGCAGATCAAGTTGGCTGTAGTAGTCAATCATCTTCACTATCGTCTGGGCCGCGGATATATCTTGCACATGATCAGTATGAATGCGCTCTACATCAACAATCTAAAATGCGATAAATGAAAAAAAGTGAAAGGAATGAAACATCTCTGAAAGTGTTGAGAAAGAAACAACTGTTATGGGCAGAAGCTTGATTTTACCTTTCACTACTTGCATCGCAGTGACAGATATGAGGTGGGACAAAGGAAGATGATGTCGCTAACGCATGTACGGTCAAAAGATAACATCCCAGAATGAGTCTCTGTCGCATCAACTGGACCTCAGTTCATTCAGGGACGGTCAACTGGCAACGGTGAGGGATAAACACACTGAGTTATACACTGGTTAACAGTGCAAGTCACTCTGTAGATCAAAAATGCATTCAGGAGTACTTCATGGCGTTTATTCCCGACATGCCTTTTAGATGCTTGCCGCGCACAATTTGCCGTTACTCTTTGTCTCTTAGTTTGATATCAGATCCTACGCTACGAACGGCTGCTATATGCGGTGGTTGTGGGAACGAATATCACTTCTCCTTCCAAAAGCAACCACATATTTAGAGGGTGGATGGCTCATCTTTCTGTCGAAGTGCTTCCCGTTCGCACGTCCCTTAGTGTTCCTTTTCCGAGTTCCCCAGCGCCTTTCTGAATACGGTTCCATACCATTGGTGAAAGGGTAAAGGATAAAGTCTTCGCCGTTGATCAATCACTTTGTGGGATGCGGCACGCATTCCACTTCAATTTAGAATCACAGCGGCTTCCCCTCCCCTCCCTTCGCTCGCTCGACGGAAAATTTTTGGGGAGAAAGTAGCGAATTTTTGGAACTTGACAAAAAACTTTGGACAAAAAAGACTGGTAGGAAGCTGGGAACATGTACACAAGAGATAGGCGGGTGTTGAGAAGGGGGAGGGGCCTGCCGTCACCCTCTTCCATAGGGGGAGGGGTCTTACTGACACCACTATTTCACATCACGATGCTGTACCCAGTATACTATGACTTGCGGAGGCCGCCGATGTACAAGTCAGTGTTCTTATCCTCCCAGACGAATCTGGTACCAATTTACCGTCCCCGGAGGGGAAGAAGGCTTGGTTGGCCGGGGCCGGAGTCGACCTGGGACTACCCCTGCGAAGTGGTAAGCGCGCCTTATGTCATTACACCTCCGCCTCTTACCATTGAGAAACCCGTAAATATTGCGATGCTCTGATTTGGAAATACCAACTGATTGAAAGAACAAATAAAGAAGAACATATACAAACCTCCGCAGTCAACAACTGCACAGCACTGCGCCATGGTAGCGAAGGATGCAAATGTGAGTAGCGAACAAGCACATTTGGAAGGAATGATAATGCAGCTGACTTGAAACAACGAAAAAACAATCGAGCTTACATAAATGAACCGAAAACAATGATTAGTGGGTTGCACATGAACTCGCGAAACGTTCTTAAGTCTCTACCAATAGACCTGCGCTAATCGAGCTGAGAACATTATTTAACCGAGAACGACTGCAAAAGAGCGTGCAGTATACAATATACTTGCACAATATTTTGAAAAACAACTGCAGTAATTCGGCTTCAGCTCCCGGAGGGAGGAAGGAGGGGCAACACCCCAAAGAAATACGTGATGGAAGAGCCTGTCATGCGGATAGTATTATTGTATTGTTTGTAGTCTTCCAGAAGAATAGCCCATATCACTGATTTTTCAAAGGGGATAGTTGCACCGACATACTTGCTCTCAGTATCACTAGGTCGCCGTCTACTCGAAGCACGACACTGAGACAAGGAGGTTGCATGAAGCACGACATTGAGACAAGGAGGTTGCATTTGAACTCGAGGCTCAAAATTTCACCTTTTCGCTAGTAACACTATTCGAAGTGGAATACCCGAAGTCATGTTTATGCTTTGGATCACCGAAGAATAAGAGAATCGGCGATTCAAGGTTTTAGTAGAATTAGCGTCAAAGGAAATGTCCCTGGAAGGATAGGAGAACAGGAGAATCGACAAATCGACGTCTTAGAAGAAGGCAGGAAATTGTGGAGATGAAGGCAGAACGAATGTGGTCGCTAGGGCGCGATTTGCTTTGAAGCGGTTGGAGAGCGGATTCGATTGATTTCCACTTATTTCACTGGCATACAAAAATGTCGAACCGCCGATTATTCTCTTCTTCCGAGCAGCAAAGTATAAACGAGGCGCAACAATAGCGATAACACGTTTTGAGCCTTATTTCGAACAATAAACTAGTACCTGGAGGAAGTGCAGAGCCAGCATATTGAGATGGTAAGAAGAGAAAAGTCCATTACGGCTGTTTTTGAGCTTGACCACATCAAAAAATGAATTCATCCAGTGAATCACAATTGGCACCACTATATTCCACTGTAAATATGAGAAAGGTTTATTGCAGTTGTATCCTTCGTAAAAAAAGGGAAATGATGTGAACCTTTCTAAAATGACCAAACCTCGACACATGTTCTAACAAAAAGTGATGAACGAACAGAACCAATATTGTTGAATTGAAGATCCACACTAGTCCCCTTGAGAGTGCGAAATTTCACTATCGGCACCTTAAACACATATCATATCAAAACCAGCCTGGTCGCCGGCCGGCGGTCCTCCTGCAGCCAAGCTCCACCGGGGGGTGTGGGTTCTACTCGCATCCCCCGGTGC